AAAGAAAGAAAGAAAGAAAGAAAGAAAGAAAGAAAGAAAGAAAGAAAAAGGAAAGAAAGAAAGGAAGAAAGAAAGAAAGAAAAATAGGTTTTACTGAAATGGCATAAGTATGATTTTGGAAAGTAACTAGAAATTACTAAATTTTATTAGGAATGCAAATGGTTCCAGGAACACGTATTCACTGAACATAGCTTAGACCATTAAAAAATAAAACAAAATTCACACTTTCAGTGAAAAAAAACCTCTTTAACATTTAGCAGGAAATGTTAGCAGAGAATCATTGCCAATTCATCTTGTGCTAGAATCTGATCACTGCTGAATGCAAAGATGATCAAATACTTTAAATATTAAAAAGTACAAACATTCTCAGTATAAATTTAAAAACAACAACAACAACAACAAAAAAAAAACAACAAAACAAACCCAACCAACAAATCAAACGAAAAACAGTACTACAGAACAACTAGAGATAATGACCCACAGAAGTGCTTGAAGGTATAATTCAGATTTATAGTTATCAATCTTTCACCTAAATATAAGGTTGATAAGTAGTGAGAAAGGTTTCCCTGAGATGTCTTTGGTACTCTATAAAAAACTCCTAGCAGCTGATGATCCAACAAATTCAGCATCCTCTCCCCACTATGGCAATAACAAAGTGCATCCAGGCCATCTGAAGCTTCATCTGCAGATAGTATGGGTTAGACAATAAGGCTACAAATAGACAAAATTCAATATTACTCTTAATAACGATCACTCAAAACCAATAACATTTAATGGCAAAAATAAAAGAAAAGCACTGCAAAAATATAGTGTCTGCCAGGCAGAATCAGCCCAATGGTCTATTTATATTCCTTCCTGAATTTGTTACTATTTTACCAGTGTTTGTTTTTTATAATCAACTACAAAGTAGCTGGTTGACTGCAGTATCTAGCACCTGAATGTCATCATTGAAGCCCTGACAGTTCTAACAACAGGGAGCATAAGGACCAAGTTTACTTGAATTTTGAACATCTCTAATTTTCCTTAATTCTTCCTTTTGTGGTACATCAATTTAAATTTTGCAATCTTTATTTATGTGCAATTTCTGCCAGATCTCTAGCCAACTACTCTTTGGTTCTGGCAGCATTTTTAGAACAGCCTCCTGATGATATTTCATACTTAAATTTATAGCTGAAATAAGGAGAAGAAGAGAGAATTAGAGAGGAATTTAAAAAAAAAAAAAAGAAAAAGAAAATAGCAACAACAACAAAAAAGCTCTTTTCTGTTAGACAACCAAAGGTTTTCTGGAATTTGCATGAACATTTTGTTCAGTTGCAATCCAAGAGCAAGTCAGCGCTTACCTTGCAGATCAGAGAGGTCTTGGCCCCAAGTCGAGCAGACTGGACACATTGATTGGCTCCTTTCCCACCAAAACCAATGAAAAACTTCTGTCCAAGGATAGTTTCTCCAGCTCTTGGCAATCTTGTGGTAAAGCTATTCCAATTTAAAGCAATATTTACATACATTAATGACTGAAAATAGCAACCATCTTCAAAATAAGAGTTACATTCTTACAATTTTAAACGGTCCAACAGCCACTCAATATGAACATCAAAGACTAGAAAGTCCTTTAAGGGTCTCTATTCCACAAGCCACCAGTTTATGTTTATTCCTTATATGCCACTCAGTCAAGCTGCTCATTTATTACTTTTACTTTACTTAGTTTATTACTTAAACTTAATTTATTACTTAGGATTGCATTTCTGTTGTTTCTGTTTCATGTTTCGACCAGAAAAAGAAGCAGTTGATGCCTGACTAGGATTCCCCATTCTTAATTCAATACAGATACATAATAAATCTATAGGTCTTACTGTTCGTGTTGTTTTACTGCAACATTCAGCTCACCTTTACACACTGTTCATTTAACTTCATTACATCTAATTATATACTCTTGAACCACCCTAAGTAATTTTTCACTTTGTTGATGTTCACACCCCTGAAAATTGTAGATCATTATCAAAGCTTTCCTCCCTTCTGCTGTCACTCAGCAGTGACTACTCTCCCTTTTAAATCAAACCCTACAACTCCTCAACATTTTGTTGCTTTTGAACTGACTCCAATTACACTGACATCTTTCTGAGGATGGGTGCCCAGACACAGGAGCACTAATACAAGTGGAGACCCATTGGGGATGTATTCAAGACAGTTCAGTTTAGTTTCCATTTTGAACAAAAAAACAACAAAGTAGAATCGCAATGTTGTTAATGCCACCAGACATTTTGCTATCTCCAGAAAAAGTTGAAAGAAAGAAAACACTCCCCCAAGACAACGGGGGAGAAGTTTCCGAATGCAAAGCTACACTTGCCGCTTACTTTTCCCACTTCTATTAGAAATACAGAACTCAAAGCTGTGTTTACGACTCTCAGATTACCCAAATTTCTGCCTACTCAAGCCATGCATCCCAGGGATACATTTTAAAAATGTAATTCCTACTATCTCCTAAGCTACAAACAAGCTCACAACAAGTGTAGAACAAAGGCCTTCTGCAAGGTAATTCAACCTGTTCAGCCCACATGCAGGTAGCCTGAACCGGCTGCCAAAAGTCTGAAGGAAAGAAAGCGTCCATGGGCAAAGGGGAGTTTGCAGGAATGCAGAGGAATCTGTCCTAATAAGCAAGATTCACTTCACCTCTGTTTGTCATTTTCTAACATTTTGCCAGTAAATCTTAGAACAGCTTTAAAATTGCCAGCTCTCCAATTCAGAAAAAGGTGACATACTTCCACGCTAGTAAGTCACTACTGATTGCTGCCTGAAAAGGACATGAGGGATGCGTTCATGTTACTCTCAACTTTATATAGCAAATGTTAGGGCACCTTAGTGTTTACAAAACCTTAGTGAAGTTAATGCCAGAACACAGCCATACCAAATGAAAGTTTTCAAGAAAAAGCAAGCACTTTCTTCTTATTAACTTTCAGTTTTCAACATCCATAGGTCCAATGTTAAGGATCACAATGAAAATGAAATCTAAACTAGTGAAGCTACATAAGTCTTTAACTCCCACAAGATTACTGCTCTGAGGCAGCTGTTATGGGTCTGTCCCTCAGCAGTACTTACAGTTACTGAAGATATGCAGTTGGGATGCAAACACTAATTAGGGATGTTTGCTAACACAGCACCCCAAGTTTCTGTGTGAGGGTAAGGTAACCATTCAGCAGGTTTTCTTGTATGGAGGACCAGAAAGAAACCCCAAAAAGACTCACAAGTACAGCTACTGGCACTTACTTTGTTTCCAGGCATGTAGAACCAGGTAGCATTCTGTTCGGAAATGTTTAAGGCATTTTAACTAAAAATGTAATGGTGATTTACAATTATAAGTACCTTGTATATATGGAAGGGGTTGGTAAATTAAAGCAGTTTCCCACAGCAGCCTCTGGCAGGCTGTTTACAACAAAGAGTAACTAACATTTGAGGGAACAAAGTGTAATGATAGTAGTAATGAGCAAGGTATATTAATAGTAACATCTATAATTTATTGCTATTTTCTCTATTTTATGTGTCACTGGAAGCCAAAATAGTGATGTGGACCAGAGAATGAAGGTCACAAAACTCAGACAAGGAAGCTCCTGTTTGGTCACTGTCGGGCTTCTGCATGCATACTTCCAGAATTATGTGTCACTCAGCAAAGAATAGATGTTATGCTCAGCCTTGGTAAGCAATAGTAATAGCAGCTCTTGTACAGCTCATTTCTTTGACAGATCTCACTACACTTTAAAAAGCAGAACAACATTGTTATTCCTGTTTTGTGGGTGTGAAACTTAGGCAAGTCATTTTGCCTTTTTGTTCCTTGGGTCAGTCAAGAAGCCACTAGCAAAACCAAAAGCAGAGATGAACTCAATCCTCTAGCACACACAGTCTCCTGATTTCAATTCTGCACTGAGAAACCAGTATCAGGTCTCAGTTCATGTTCCTTCCTTAGGGTGCTTTAGGAGATTACAGCTCGTTCTAAATAGAATTTGTTTCTTCAAAACCCTCATGTATTTTTAGAGAAAGATGAACAATTGTGACATCCCAGCAGGCATCTGCTAACGCTGCTGCTTTGAGATCACATGTATTTGTGAGAAGCACGTTCACCCATACATATTCTAGTCAACAGTGGCTAGACCACGACTTGATTCTTCTCGCAGTTATGTTGGCATCAGCATGCAACTCCAATGAAAGCAGCATAATTACACTGGTGAAAAAACAGGCTCGGTGAGGTGAGGATCTGTGCATCAGTGTTTCAAGTAGGACAGCAAAACAACTGCCTGTGGGAATCAAACAGCTTGTTGAAGACGGGAAGATGACCTTTTTTATTGCTTTGATGAAAAGGCACAAGGCAAAGGGCAAAGGATCAAGTTGGAACAGTGATTTGTAATTAGCCAATTTTAAAAATAGGCTAACAGCCTAGGTAAGAACATGCAGCGAGTTCCTGTAGCTCACTGTAAACAAAAAAAGCCACCCTCATTGCATTTCAGGCACAATCACCAGTCCTTTCAGAATAGTTCTACACTCCAGAAGCCTATTTTTATCTTCTATATTAAAACAAATTCAAAGTACTGATCTATATACATAGCCTGAAAGTTTCACTTTCACTGACATAGGTATTCAAGATTTTTTTCCCCCCAAATGCAACACTTTCCTCTTGTCATTTAATTCTGCAACTGCACTAACTTTCAGTTCAGATCAGACTACTTTAATAAGCATTTCAGGCTTCTGTTATGAGCAGGCAGTGATGACTAATTTGTATAAGGAACCCTATAAATTCTTGGCTTATTGATGGTGCCACAAAGAATACTCAGAATGGCCTAAAAATGATGAAACAGCCAATGTTACTCCAAAACTAGGCTACATAAGTTAATTAGAAAAACTGTCACACTGGTTTTCAGAATTGTTACATAAAGTGTTTTGTAAAGCTATTTACAACTTTGGCATAATTTGAAAACACTGACATGAAAAAAGTAGTTTAAGTTGCTAACTAACAGACTGCTCTGAGCTTATGTGTCAAATTCTCCACAGCTTTGAGAGGATAAATGGTGTAAAGGATATTGATCTCATGTCTTATGAGCAACCAGAAACTGAATGCGAAATCCCCCAAGACCTATTAGATGGGGAAAAAAACCACCATAGAATATATTTTGCAAATCGTGCACAGTAATACAGATCATGGAGGAACTTTCAGACTAAAACATCCTGAAATGCTTTGGGCTACAAATAAAGGGATATAATCACTCAAAATGTCAACAGTTTTAACAAAACAATATTTAAATGTAAGAAACACACAGCAGAATTACCCACAGTTTTTTGTGGGAAATGAAGATTCTTACATCCAGCTATGCTTCAGAGGTTTGGCGTAAACAGAAGTACACAAATAACAATTTCACCAGTGCATTAACTTTGATCCTTTATCTAGTGTGTGCCACAAGTTCTGTTAAAGGCTAGAGCTGGTTAGCACTTGTGTTTTTAGACAGATATCCCTTAGGACTGGTGGCACTGGGAAAAGAACAGAACCTTCCACTACCTCAGTGATGCACTGAACCAGAGGTGAAGTGCAACTAACTGAGTTATGAATGCCACTTTCCACAGTAGTCTGGTTTTCTTGAACAGTTCCCATCTAGCAGCAACTAGATCACAAGCGGAAATATCGTGTCTGAAGGAAGGAGGAAGGGAAAGGGAACAACGCACATAAGCAGCATTTGCATAAACTAATCTTGAAATTAATCATGGTTTGCTTCCGATTCCTGATGCCTAACCGGTGTCTGTTTGGTGCTTTCAACATGCAAAGATATTACAAAGGTACACTATTACTGTCAGCTTCAGCTGATACAGAAGCATTTTCCCAAAGTTCACTGTGCATTCATTGTGCCAGGCTGGATGTGGCTCTGGGCAGCCTGGCCTACTGGTTGGCGACCCTGCACATAGCAGAGGGGTTGAAACTAGATGATCATTGCAGTCCTTTCCAACACAAGCCATTCTATGATTCTCTGATTACCCTTATTGCTTACAGAGTTCACTAACGCCAAATGTTTTGTGTTTTTTCCACAGGTCGTTTTAATTAGCATCAGCAAACTGACCCATGCTGGTGTCCAGCAGGCAGGGTGGGCCAGATCATGTTGCCAGGACTGAGGAGGGGGTGAGTGAGGGAGCAGCAGTACTGCCTTCACTGTGGCCATACATGCATGCTGCCCTGTGCCACTGATACTGCCCTGTCTGCTGAAAACGTGGGATGCTTCGCAACCAGGGCTTTGGTCGTAGTACAACATACTTGGTTCTGTACGAACGTTGAAGAAAATCATAAAGTCTCAGATTATTTCTGGGAAACAATGTGGTTTTAGCGTGCATGAGAAAAAGAAAAGAAAAAAAAAAACAAGATGCACGTCAATGTTTTTCTTTTGAAGAAAGAGAAAAGAAAAACAATATTCTCATCAGGCAGTTCAGAGGGGAAGACAATTTGTATGTTAGATTAGATATCACGTTATCTAAGAGGACTGTCATTTACATAGTATCTAAAGAATATTTAAACACCTTTTTTTTTCTCCTGAAGAACAGTGAAGATAATCAAGGGTATGAAAAAAGTAGCAGAAATGATGCATTTAAAGGCATTTTAATGAACAGGAATATAATGTAAAGGCTTAGAATTTAGCTTTGATTCTGCTCTCTTTGAATCCCTGAATAAAACTGGCTCTTTTTCCCCTCCTGGGAATTCCCTGAAATGGGGAAAATCCCTGGGAGATTAGAGTAGGTGTAGCTAGCCACTGTCTAGTACATACAATTTACTGGGCTTTCATGCTCCTCAGAGCCGAACAAATACAAAGGAAAGAACAGCTCTTGCCTCTAACTAGGAATATTAGTACATCATTGTGGTGAAAAAGTCTCAGACCTCTTTTGGATCTGGCGTAATATTTTGGTTTAGCCTCAGTCTCTTTTGTCTCACTTAATTTTTAAAGATTTGAACATGTACTATGGGAAAGTATCCATAATATGGAGACAAAAAGACCACAATTCTTTTCAAAATCTGATGTTCTTGACTCCTTCTTGCTTTCATCCCTTTTAATAATCCACTAAAGCATCTTATTGGAAGGTAGAAAACTTTCAGAATTGTGAAGAGATTACCTCAGGAATGCAGTTAACTACAGCTTGGTTTAAATATTGGGCTATTCAGTTCTAGGTTTTAGTCTCACTTCAGATCTCTAAACCGAAAAAAATTAGAGACAATTGGAAATAATAGAAAATACTCCATGTATTCTTCCAACTATTTCCCTGAATATGACAAGTCTTTCTTTAAAAAAGTTCACTTTTCATACTACTCATAAAATTGGCTACCATTTCTTGGATGGTCTGGGTTCTCTCACTAGGACACATAACAGTGTAATAAGAGTATCCAAACTGGTACCTGGCAAAATAATTGATGGCTAAAGAACAATCCTTTCACAGGACAGTGCTGAAGTACAGTGGCAGTGTGAGATATAAAAACTTTACCCCATCTTACATTCTGAAGATCTTGCTAAAACTTGCTTGATTTTACATAATCTACAATCTGTCACCATGACACAAACGATGAGTTAGTGCAGAGCAGCAGGAATCATTCCATCCAGTTTTGTGATCAAAGAAACACGTGCATTTTATCAAATACATACATATATATTTTCTAAAGGCAGATTATTTCGTAGATCTCATTACTGAATGCGTCAACAGTTGAACTGACACAATGGTGAACATCTCTGGCAAGTGAAAAATTTAAAGGAATGGCTGAGACTACAGCAGGGCCACAAAAGTGGCACCTTCTTATATAAGCTTTACCTCTTCCAAAATAATATTGTGCAATCACAAACTGAGCTTAAAAAGACCAAAACACATAACATATAGAAGGAGAATGGATGTACATAGCCCTCCAACGAGGACTTCAATGAATGTTTCTGCTGACCCTCTGTACAGGGGTAAATTTTGCCCTTCTAGATCTTAAAAGATGGAACAAAGAAGGCACTCAGATGAATATCCTGCAGCTGTTAGAGTAGCATGCTGTAGTGCACGTCATTGAAATGACATCATCAAGAGATCAGAGTTCCTAAATTATACTGGAGAGCTGAAAGTTTCAGAACAAAGGAAAAAGCTTTTCCTGGAACAGTAGGCCTTTCCTCACATCTCTAGCAGTTAACTTTCAGGGAAAAGGTGGGCACAACACCGGCGATGTAATTCCGAACTGGATGCTCAAAAGAGATTAAAAAATGCATGAATCTAACCTGAGATATTTAAGCCTCAGCAAAAGTTCCATCACTTTTACAAAACATCTGTTTTGTATTTTAAAAA